CAACCTTTTTAGGGGTTGTACTGACCTTTTCAGGTATCTGATCATTGTTGATCTCTTCACCAGTATTTACAACTTTTTTCTTTCGTGGATTCTTATCCTTGGAACCCAACGGTCTGCCACATTTTACGCGGGCAGTATGCTCATTAGCACTCGGCATTTTCCCTTCTGGGATATTTATTTTAGCTGGTGCATTTGATGCTGCAATATATGATTTTGTAACTCTGGCAGCATCATTAAAAGCATCAGGTAATTGATTTGCAATTTTATGCAAATGCACAATTCTTTGAACTTCGAGTTAACTATGTTTCGTACGAGAATCAAATTCAAGTGGTATTTTCCACGAAATTTCTTTTTTCAGTTGATTATTGTCTCCCCTAATGTTAGGAAATGTGATTCGTCAAAATGACAGTCTGCAAACCTCGCAGTAAATAAATCACCCGTTGTTGGTTCAAGATATTTTGCGATCGAGGGTGATTCATATCCGACATATATACCCAACCTTCTTTAAGGTCCCATTTTCGTGCATTGAGGTGGCGCAACTGGAACATAAACAGCATACCCAAATATCCGCAAATGAGATATATTTGGTATTTTTCCAGAAACCAATTGAGTAGGGGAATAACAGTGATAACTTGTTGGCCTTATTTTCACGAGGCCTGTTGTATGCAATATAGCATGTCCCCAACATGATACAGGAAGTTTAGACCTCATTAACAATGGTCTGGCAATTAATTGCAATCTTTTGATAAGGGATTCAGCGAGGCCATTTTGCGTATGTACATGAGGAACATGATGTTCCACAATAATCCCAATTGACATGCAATAATCATCAAATGTATGTGATGAGTACTCTCCAGCATTATTTAAATGTATTTGTTTTATTGGGTGATTTGAAAATTGTGCTCGCAATTTAATTATTTGTGCAAGTAATCTAGCAAAAGCTAGATTGCGAGTAGATAATAGACATACGTGTGACCATCGCGTTGACGCGTCAACTAGTACCATAAAGTACTTGAAGGGTCCACACGGTGGATCTATTGGTCCACAAATATCACCTTGAATTCTTTCCAGAAAAGCTGGGGATTCAAATCCAACCTTTGTTGGAGATGGCCTGATTATTAACTTCCCTTGGGTACAGACAACACAAACAAATTTATTCGAACTCAAAATATTTTTCTTTTTCAATGAGTGGTCATTTGAATTTTCAACAATTCGCCTCAGCATGACATTGCCAGGATGCCCAAGTCGATCGTGCCAAGTTTTAAAATCGCTAGTAGCCATTTGATCTACTATGTGATATTTTTCAATGGCACTGGTTTTTGAGTAATATAAGCCGGAAGAAAATGATGGCAATTTTTCTTTTACAATTCTTTTGCCATTCACAATCTGAGTTATCAGGAAATACTCATTTTCTGCCTCATTTAATGTTTCAATGTGATACTCATTTTTTCGAATATCACTGAAGCTCAGCAAATTCCTTCGAGCTTTGCTCGAGAACAAGACATTTTCAATTGTCATTTTTGTCCCTTTTGGGAGATATACAGTAGCTTTTTCTGAGCCTTCAATCATTTTTTATGTACCACTAATAGTAACAATTGTGGTCTTTCCCATATTCAGATGGGAGAAATAACTTTTGGTTTTCAAAATGCTGTGAGTCGTAGCACTGTCGATAAGGCAGATATTGTCATCGGCACCAAAAAATTTGGCATCCATATCTTTGCAAGAAGGTAAAAATAATATTCCCTCCGTCCCGGAACTAAATATCCATTTGTTTTTTGCACGTAGTTTTATAAATATTAGTATTATATTGGGATATAGTAGGAATAAAGTTGAAATGACTAAAATAACCTTATTAGTATGTGTGATATAAATGTAATGACATTTGTGTAATATATGTAAGTTGTAAGGGTATTTGTAATGTTAGGTAGATAGTATAGTTACTAAAAAAAAAAAATTATACTTTGTTATGGAACGGACTAAAATGGAAAAATGGATACTTTGTTATGGGACGGAGGGAGTAAAAGACATGTATCAGTAACATAATCAAAATAGAATTATATTATAGGGGGTAATACAAAAAGGGGTAGAAAGCATAAAAAATAACAAAAGAGATACAATAATATTTTATCATTTAACATCATCAGCTATGTCAAGCAGATCATCAGCATCAAGGTGCGTGATATCTTCATTCATCACATCGTCAAATGTGTCATCATGGGCAATGTGGTTTGTTTCGTCAGCAACTCTTCCCCACCTTTCTTTTGAGGCCCGATACAGTTCAGCCAAGTGACTGGCTGTGCGACAAACATGGGCCCAATGGCCTTTGATTCCACACCGGGTGCATTCCTCGTCATTGTTTCTATTTCTCCCGGTGTTGAACCTCTGTTGAGGTCTGTACGGCCTTCTGTCATTATAATGTCGATTTGGCACATATCGGGGCCTATTTTGATATAATTATTGTGACTGTATGCGTTTGCCTGGCCAAGTCCGCGATTCTGATTTCGATCGCGATTAATTCGCTGATTTCTGACTTGCCCACGATCACGCACCGGATTTGCCGGCTATATTGCATTTGTCTCTGGAAATGGAGTTGCACCTGTCGGCCGAGATTCGTGATTTTTCAGTAGCAATTCATTATTTTGTTCGGTCAGCAAAAGACAGGTGATCAACTTAGAATATTTCTAAAAGCCTCTTTCGGGATACTGCTGCTGCAAAACCATGTTAGATGCATGAAAAGTAGAGAAAGTTTTCTCCATCATATCAGATTCAGATAAATTTTCGCCACAGTGGCGTAGCTGTGATGTTATTTTAAACATGCCAGAATTATATTCTTGGACTGTTTTAAAGTCCTAAAGCCGTAGGCTTTGCCATTCCCTTCGTGTCATTGGCAACAATGTCAGTCTCAAATGATCATATCTTTTTTTCAATCTCTCCCACAATTCAAGTGGGGATTCCAGCGTGACATACTGCATTTTCAGTGCTCACCGATGTGATGTCACAAAAAGATCATGGCCTTTGCACGATCTTGGCTCGGGAGTTTTTATCTTGGGCAATGGTATTTTCCAAGTCCATTGATACCAGATGTATTTTAACATTGCAAGCCCATGCCATATAATTTTGGCCAGAAACGAGGAGAGAGAGAAATTCCTATTTGGCAAGGTTAGACATCATGAACAGATAAAATATAAAATATTACCTTACGGAAAATAAAATATATAATCGTGCTGTTGTAATATTATTATAGGATTAGCCAATAGAAATATTAATTACTTTTACCGCTAACCATTATTTCATATTTTGTATATAATATATATAAGTAAATATATATATATATAGACGTGTGTGTACAAAGTGTGTATAATATATATGTATGTAGTATGTAGGATATTATATATATTATATAATGTATGTATGTATATATAAGTTTTGTAAAAAGAAATAAATATTGAGGGGGAGAGAATTTGGAAGAGAGAGAGACGAGAAATTAAATGTTACTGCAATTCACGATCTTAAGTTTTGTAAAAAGAAATAAATATTGAGGGGGAGAGAATTTGGGAGAGAGAGAGACGAGAAATTAAATGTTACTGCAATTCACGATCTTAAGTTTTGTAAAAAGAAATAAATATTGAGGGGGAGAGAATTTGGGAGAGAGAGAGACGAAAAATTAAATGCTACTGCAATTCACGATCTTATTTCATCACTTGTACATATATTTATAGGGACAGACTTATCATGCATTTAATATAAAAGCATTCGCGTACCGCAAAGGTATACATATATTTGTTTACAAAACTTTTCTTATTTTAATATTTTTTTCTATTTATTTATTTATTTCCAACTAATTTGGCAGTTCTCCTCGAAAGAAGATTTACCGTTTAAGTGCTCCATACAATGCATATTCATATATTTATTTATATTATATACTTAAATAATTATTTAATTCAAAATAGTTTTATTTAAAATTCAAATTTAAATTCATAATCCAAAATTGACGTGTTTGCTCCATTTTAGATAGATTTTTGAATTTTTTGTTTTAAAATTTTTTTGGTATAATACAAAATTAATATTTTATTTGATGTTTTAAAAAAATTATTATTAATAAATAATGTAAAAAATTACAAAATAATTATACAAAGCGGAATTTTATTTTTTTAAAAAGTAAAATATACTCCGTCCGTTTCAATACAATAGTGATGTTTATTATTTTTATACGTCGTAAAACAAGTCTAATTTTTATAAATAATCATATCACAATAAAAACTATCCTTACTTTTTCATTATCATTACACAATTGCCACTATTTTTTTACACTAATACAATCATAAGGATAAAAAGGTTTTTTACCCATACTTTTTACCTACTATCAGTATAATATCAATATTCCTTAAATTTCGTGCCAAATACAACTCATACCATAGTTTTGGGACGGATCCCAATATAATAGTCTTGTTTACCATTTTTGTTCGTCTCAAAACAGTAGTCTCATTTTCATAAATAATCATATCACCATAAAACTATCTATATTTTTTCATTATTATTACATAATTGTCACTACTTTTTACATTAATATATTCACAGAGTTAAAAAAGTAATTTATCTTTATTTTTTACCAACTACCAATATAATATCAATATTTCTTTCGTGCCTAACAAGCTGATACTATACTTTTGGACGGAAGAAATATTATTTTATATTACAAATAAACTATAAGCATAACTACTATCAAAGAAAACTTGTGTAAATTATTATACGACATTATAAAGGAAAAACTCTTAGTTATTTATTTTGTAACTTTTTAAATAAAACAATTATATTACAGATAGTATAAATTTGAAATTGAAAATTAAATTAAGATTATTTCTAAAATGTTTGATTTATACAGAAATTAATGATAAATTCATTTGGATAATATCGATGTCTTATTTTGCATATACTATTTTCAATTAAATTAGTACTACTTGTTTAACTAAAATAGAATTATCATCACTGAATATCAACCACATTAATCAGTATGGTAAGACTATTGAATTTCAGAATTATTTATGTGCAGTTTCTACTTTTCTGCGTCTTCCTCCTTCCCCCTCACTACAAATAGCCACCGTCTCCGCCGCGACGCCCACTGGACGCTCCGCCGCTGCGAATCAATTGCTGTTAGAGCACTCAAGTGTGAATCGAGAACCTCAGACAACCTAAGCATGGGCAAAGAACAGTCCTCCTCCACCGTCGCCGCCGCCGTGGCGCACGAGGAATTCAAGCTGGTAGGTTTCAAAAACTTCGTCCGTAAAAACCCTAAGTCCGATCGATTCTCCGTCCGGCACTTCCACCACATAGAATTCTGGTGCGGCGACGCCACCAACACCGCCAGGCGCTTCTCGTGGGGCCTCGGAATGCCTCTCGTCGCTAAATCTGAACTCTCCACCGGAAACTCCGTACACGCTTCGTACCTCCTCCGCTCCGGCCAGCTCAACTTCCTCTTCACCGCGCCTTACTCCCCTTCGCTCTCCAATCCATCCTCCGCCGCCATCCCTACTTTCTCCTTCTCCGACCACAGTTCCTTCACTTCCTCTCACGGTTTGGCCGTCCGCGCGGTCGCTATCCTCGTTGATTCAGCCTTTTCTGCTTACTCCACCGCTCTCTCCGGAGGCGCTAAATCTTCATCTCCGCCGGTTCTTCTATCGGACAACAAAACCGCCATCGCCGAAGTCCACTTGTACGGCGACGTCGTACTACGATTCGTGAGCTACGGCGATGGTGAAGAAGCATCCTCCGATGGATATTTTCTACCAGGCTTCGAACAAATCGAAAACGAAAGCTCTTACCAACAATTGGATTACGGAATCAGAAGACTCGACCACGCCGTCGGTAACGTCCCCGAACTCGGTCCTGCGGTCGAGTACTTGAAGAACTTAACTGGATTTCACGAATTCGCTGAATTCACCGCAGAGGACGTAGGCACCACCGAGAGCGGATTGAATTCCGTAGTCCTCGCAAACAACGACGAGACGGTGCTGTTACCATTAAACGAGCCGGTGTACGGAACGAAGAGAAAGAGCCAAATCCAGACATATTTGGAGCACAATGAAGGTGCAGGAGTGCAGCATTTGGCACTCACAAGTGAGGATATCATCAGAACGCTGAAGGAGATGAGGCAGAGGAGCAGCGTCGGCGGATTTGAGTTCATGCCTTCACCACCGCCGACGTATTACAGGAACGTGAAGAACAGAGCCGGCGATGTGCTTACAGATGAACAGATCGCCGAGTGCGAAAGGCTGGGGATCTTGGTAGATAGGGATGACCAAGGAACTCTTCTCCAGATCTTCACCAAGCCTGTGGGCGACAGGTACTTTCAAAACCTATCTCTTATTCAATCCATTGAATTTGCTTTAACTATACCTGTTTTGGGATTAGATTCGGCTAAATCCTGAATGAAATTAGCATGATTGAGACTATAATTAGCAGTTTGTTATCAAGGATTTTGATGATCTGAAGCTTTTAGTTCAAGCACAAACTATGGTCTGAAGTTTTTATTCGAAATGCTCCATAGTTGCTTTCTTACGCCATTCATTATATTCATCTTTTTTTAGGCAGAATAGAGCTTCCGACTTCATGCTATGTGTTTATTCCATGAATTTCATATCTACTTGCTGTATGCATTATGCCATTCATGATCTGTAATTTGTAAAAGAAAACAGTGAAGTAGGCTAATCAAAAGCATCGGCTTTTTCCGTAAGGTGATAAAGTTTGATCTGCTTTTGTAATTGTCACTGCTTGGTTGTGCTCTGAACAAAATTGATTATAAATGCTTCGCTTGTTGTAGAATTACTACGACGATGGTTTTCTTTGTTCTATGATCACCAATTGATGGAAATCTTGCTAGTTTACTTATCGAAAAAGTTTGATCTGTTTTGTAATTGTCACTGCCTGGCTGTACTCTAAACAAAACTGGTTCTATATGCTTTGCTTGGCGTACAATTACTACCACGAAAAATAAATGGCTCGATGATTTTCTTTCTTCTATGATCATTTTCGTAATACACCACCGTTGCATTTCTTACTACAAATCTTTTAGTTGTTAGTGAAAAGCTCTAGATTCATGTCAGTTCCATGGATATATATATTGCTCTATACCCATAACATTAATCGTTTCGAGTAATCCATGTAAAATCTTCATATTATTGATGATGGTGAATAGTTCTTGTATTTGTTCAATTTGAAACCTGGCGATTTACTTTACTCGTTAGATGTCAGAGTTTTATCATCGATGTGTTGGGTGGTTGAATTAATTATAACACGGGCGCCGTCTGTGTAGGCCGACTATATTCATAGAGATCATTCAGAGGATCGGGTGCATGCTTAAGGACGAGAAAGGGAACGCTTACCAGAAAGGAGGGTGCGGAGGATTCGGTAAGGGCAACTTCTCGGAGCTCTTCAAATCCATCGAAGAATACGAGAAAATGCTCGAAGCAAAACAAGCCGTTGCTGCTTCTTGAAGGTACGTAGTGTAATGTTTGCACGAGCAATGGAGATCAAATAGTAGTTGGTAGTATTGGTTGTAACTGCTTGCTTGTGTAGATGTTACGTATTTTGAAACTAATGAATTATTGAAATTTATATATTATTCAATTATGACGGCAAAAATATATAATACTATAAAATAATTAAATATTTGATGGGAAATTATTGCAATTTTCTCTTGCTTATTTTTTATGATTTACATTGAATTAAGCAATATGTGTTTGTTTCAGAGAATTTTCTAGTTTTTTTTTTTATTATTCAAAATTTTTTACCAAACAAATCAAATTATATATTTATTTTTATATTGTATTAAGAATTAATTTTAATTTTAACTATTATATCAATATTTATTTATGATTTTTTTTTTATCATTTTAATTTCAAATCAATATTATTGATAACTTACAGTTTTCAATAGAAGTAGTATACTAATTTTTCTCAAATAAATATATTATTTTAAAAAAATTGAAATTAATATTCAATTCTAAACCATAATTAAACAAATTGTATTATTACATCACACGGTTATTATAATTTAAAATTCAGATTTAAAAGTGACACCTCCAAACAAAATCTGTTAAATAGCTTACAGAAGCGCCAAGGCTTGAACTAATTAATCCATTTTTCACACGACCCGTCCATACTTTGCGGACCACCTCAAAAATTTAAAACTGACCCAAACCAACCTAAATCTCTTGATTAAGTTTGGTTGGTATTATTTTTAGGATAAATTAAGCAAAACAGCAAATAAAACCCCGTGGTTTACCAAATCCGCTAAAAACACCCTGTAGTCCTAAAACTCCAAAAAATCTACTCGTGGTTTGTAAAACGTTGCACACTCGTCCCCCTCTAAATCACACTGACGCCATTAAATTTTAGCCTCATCATACCGTTATACCCCTATCTTTATTTTTTACTTTATGTTTTTATTTTTTGAGGGCATTTTCCATTCTTCCCCAAAATCGTTCTCTCACCATCTATCGCGCGATCAAGAAACCCACCAGCAGAGGGACACCGTCGTTGCCCCGCCTCCACCCCCCGTTTCACGCTGCCTTTCGCTCATCCTTCATCCTTTCATACACTGTCGTTACCTTTCCCCACCGACACTACAGTCACGATCCCCCGTCTGCCCCACCCCCAAGCTTTCTAGGGTTTACTTGCGATTTTTTAATTTGGTAAAATTTCTCAAATCTCTCCTCTCGGCTCGTGAGTAGGAACGTTCGTGTATTTCAAAAATCAATTTTCTAGTTTTATTTTGGGTTGAAAGTGAACTTTACGTCGGACACAGAGATATGTATATTATTAAAAATTTTGTGGTCAAGTTACTTTATTTCCTCTTTTGCTGTGTATTTTGTCGTGTCTCTGGAATAAATTTAGTAATTCGTAGAAAGTTAGATTTTGTTGGTGGTAAGATTCAGTGTGTTGTCTTGCATATTGCACGTTCTTGAGGTTGTTGTGGTCCCCGGCATAATGGACCAGTTTGCGACAATTTATATGTGGGTGGATGGGTATACCGAGTATGAGGGCCCCGCGAAGCGATACAGGGGTGGCAGATATGTTTGTTTCCCCCGTATCGATAAGGATAGGTTCTATTTTGGTGAGATCTTCAACATGTACTGTCGTGTAAGAGGTAGGGCAGGTGTTGTGGAGTTCATACATCGGAGCCCCGATAGTCCCCACGGTGCAAATCAGAAAGGTCCAGTGTATCATATTAAGAGCGATGAAGATGTTATGAATATGTTTAAAATTCACTACGGCAAAAATATAATTTCTATATATGCCGAGGATAAAGCTTTGGCGATGCGCATATGTGATGCCTACGGACATAACATACGGAGGCCTAACGAAGGTTTGTTGCTTGAATGGCGTCGTGGAATGGAGGAAAGTAGCACTCTGAGGAATTACGTTTTTGAGGATGATAAGGGTGTCGAGGACGATGGGGGGTGATGACGCTCATGAGGGTGAAAACGTGCATGAGGAAAGAGTAACGGATAATGTGTGCGGATACAAGAATAAAGGTTTTCAAAGCTACGAATTTGAGGAGTTAACAGGTGGATTTGATCCGCAGGATGAGGAAAGATTTCGAAAAGGGAAAGGCATTGCAACTCTAGACTCGGAAGAGGAAAGCGAGGGGGACGATGCGGACAACGATGAAGAAGATGACTCGCAAGGGAATTTCGAGTACATGGGTGTTGACGAACCCGTGTGGACCGATTACACGGAGGGAATGGACAATCGTGGTTGGTATGAGGCTCAATTGCATGCAGGTAAACCTCCTAGATGTTTTCTTTTCACATACGAATTTGCATTTAATACATTTCTTGTGTTATGTTTCATTGTGTAGATGCAAGCGATGACGATGACGATGATAATGCTGATGACGATGATGGTGATGGTGACGATGACGATGATGATGACCGTGATCGTGACGATGACGATGATGAAGACAATGACAATGACAATGATGATGATGAAGACGATGACGATGACAATACAGATGCCGACGAATATTGGGAGGAGTTGCGGATTTATCAAGAGAGTCAACGAGAGAAAACCCATGAAGAAAGTTCTGATGGCGAGGATCAAATCTCTGATAACGGAGAGTGGAACAGCGAGGATGTGGAAGGCGAAATTCACTCGGACACTTCCCTCACGGATGAGGGAGCAGTAGAACTTGGCGGGGGTGATGTACCAATGGATGAACCGCACTTGGCGGATGAAACTGAGGCGACTAGAGAATTGGATCATGGGACGGGGGTTAAACCGACCATAGATGGGTGGATTAGTGATGAATTGAGCGAGGAGGACGGGTTACTGCGTAGTCCGGAAGATTCTAACGACACCCGGGGGCTGGCGTACGAGGAATGGGATGATAAAATGGAGAAATCTGACTGTGAATTGAAAGTGGGGATGAAATTTGTGAACGGACTGACATATAGGCAAGCCCTCCGTGACTGGGGTGTACGGAGGGGTGGAATATAAACCTCATAAAGAATGAAAAAAAAGAAGGTTACAGCCATATGCAAGAAGGGTTGTGATTGGAGGATTCACGCGTCATCCATCATGGGTGGAGACACCTTCCAGATCAAAACCCTGAAGGGAACCCATCAGTGTTCACACCAGTCGACCAATGCGCAAGCAAACTACAAGTACCTTGGAAGGAGGATAAAAGATATGGTATCAAATAATCCGGACATATCTATACCTGCATTGAAGAAGAAAATTCGGAGGGAGGTGCATGTTTAGGTGACTATGTACAAAGTTTACCGGGCGAAGCGACATGCTTTGGAATTGATCAAGGTGCACATCAGAACAATACAAACGCCTTTACGATTATTGCGCGACAGTGTGCAAATTCAATCCGAGCAGCAGCTGTATTTTATCCGTTGATCGGGGGGTTAGTCCGCCGGTGCTCAAGCGAATGTACTATTGTTTGGCAGCTTTGAGGGAGGGATTTAAAGCAGGTTGCCGCAATATCATAGGGCTTGATGGATGTTTCCTTAAGGGGATTTATAAGGGGCAGCTTCTGACGGCAGTAGGGAGAGATCCCAATGAATATATCTACCCCATCGCCTTTGCATTTGTCGAGATTGAAAAGTATGAGACGTGGGATTGGTTCTTGGAGCGTTTGCTGAGGGATTTGGGTGATTCTAGAACCGGGGAATGGTCCTTTATATCCGATCGTCAAAAAGGATTGGTGGAGGCGATTGCAGAACGAGCGCCGTGAGCAGAACATCGTTTCTGTTTGCATCATATGTACAACAACTTCAAAGTGCGGTTTAAGCGATTGGAATTGAAGCGTCTTTTCTGGAAGGCATCGCCGACATTAATTTGAAGGAGCATGAGAAAGTGATGCGACAGATTAGGAGGTACGATGTAGCAACCGGGACCGGAGAAGCTGCTTATGCATGGTTGAGTGAGATCCCACAGCAGCACTGGGCACGGGCCTTTTTTTGGGTACAAACAAAGAGCGACGTACTCGTGAACAACATGTGTGAGTCCTTTAATTGGTACATTTTGAAGGCACGGGACCTACCTATAATTGATATGTTCGAGTGGATACGACAAAGGTTGATGGTTTGAATTCAAACGAAAAAGGCGGGGATTGAAAAATTTGAGGGAATTGTGTGCCCTAATGTCATGAAAAAGGTAGAGCTGGTGCGGAAGGCTAGCCGTAACTGTTTTCCATCATGGGGCGGCGACAACAAGTAAGAAGTTACGCACTTCACGCAGAACCATGTTGTCGTGTTGAACCAGCATATGTGCACCTATGGCATGTTCCAAATTAGCGGATATCCTTGTTGCTATAGAGTGGCCGCGATCGAGTACCAGCGACTTGCGGTGGAAAATTTCATAGATGTCTGCTTCAAAAAAGAAACGTACATGGCAGTATACACCCATGCGATAAACCCCGTCCCTGGAATACATAAGTATGAAGAATCCATGCTTGGGGAGGTGGCGCCCCCGGTCGTGAAGGTTCGCACTGGGCGTCCAAAAGAAGCTCGTCGGCGCGACGGTAATGATGAGAGGAAGGACGGTAAAGCATCTCGACATGGATTGAGGACTCCTTGTTCCAAATGCCATCAACAAGGGCACAACAGACGGAGTTGCAAAAATGATCCGCCGCTCCATAACGTGGTTCTTGAACTTATGAAGTGCTCTTTATTTTTCCGTTTATGTTGTATTGGTTCTTACCCGAAAGTGTTTACTTGTAGAATACGTCAACGAAAGATCCCATCAATCGGCCGGACAGACACTGCTCCCAATCCGAACAGGTACCCATCTCATTTCTTAGGCTACACAACTGTTACTGGGATACATTTATCTGCCAAAAAATAAAATTTGATTTCGCTGCTACTTGGATGACTTGGTAGGTTGCCTCTAATGTACATCCGTCACCGGACTGCGCGCCAGCAACGCAGTCGTCTCAGGTGCAATCGTCGGGTCCATCGGGGACGACAGACGGAAATGGGGGGAGTCGACATGCATCGTTGTCATCGCTGCTCCGAAGTGTTCGATTTTCACTCAGGACAGGGCGTCGGGGGCCTTCAGGTGGTGCATCTTCCCGGGTTCGTTAGTGAGATTCTATCGATGTCTATTTTTTATGCGTGAACGGGTACCCAGAGTAGTTTGTTATCATGTGTGTTTGTTAGTATAGAACCAATTAGCATCGGACAAAGTTATGCAAATTACCCCCGACATTTTGTGAATCGGATCGGGGATATTATGTGGATTGCTGTTGTCGGCATTTTGTGAATCGGATCGGAGAAATTATGTGGATTGCTGCTGTATTTGCTGTTGTATTTTATGTATATTACCGTTTGGATATTTTGCTTTGTGCCTAAGTTGTTTGGGAAGTATTGTAAAATTGCATTGTTTTTTAGGGAATGAATACTATGCCATGTATGTTGAAGTGTTTACTCCATTCGTCCCATAAAAAATGTTTTGTTGGATGTTGGCACAAAATTAAAGAATAATAATAATACTCCTTCCGTCTCATATACCATGTCCACGTTGCCGTTCTGTCCGTCCCACATTCCATGTCACTTTTATTTTTTGAAAATGATTACACACTTTAATCTCATTTTAAACTTTTTAATTTATTTTTTTAATTTTAATTAAACTAATTAGTTATCTTAATCTTAATTTATAATTATTTATATTATAACATAATTATTTTAATTAATACATTCATAATTATCTACTAATTACACCCCTCCTAAAATACTGTGTCTGCTACATGGTATACGGGACGGAGGGAGTAATATTTAATTGAAGATAGATATAAAATAAAATATAAAAGAGTAAAATACCCTTATTTTTTGAATAATTTTAAAAAGTATATTAGAATAATAATTATGAGTAGTTTGAAAAAGTAAGAATAATTTTGTTATAAAGTTGAAATCACAGTTACTAAAGTAAACAAGACAATTGTTTTGAAAAACTGAAAAACAAGATAATTTTTTTGTGACGAAGGAAGTATATCACATGCTTTAACGAAAAATGTATAAAACATTTGGTGTTTTATTTATTATGTGAAATTTTGTGTTGAATTAAAATATGCACAAAACATCATTTTTATTATTATTTGGATATAAATATAGCTATGCAAGTTTTATAGAAATAAAATAAGTAAAATATTTTAAATATATTTTTTTTAATAAATAAATAATTGAGCAATTATTTTTTTTATAATTTTTTTATAAAAATTAGATAACGGTTTGTCACCAAAAAATTATAAATTAAAGAATTATTTATTTATTTATTATATTAAAAACATACTATTAATATATTTATTTTTCTTTATTTGTACAAAACTTGTATAAATTAAGTTTTTATACTCAAAGAAGAAAGTTTCACACAATTAAAAACTACGAGGTGTTTTTGTGTATTTATCCTAAAACAGTATAGAGTGTTACATAGTTTAGTCTTATTTTTATTTGGAAATATTCAAAGTATTTGTGTGTATATATAAATATATAATATATATTTTTTTATGTTATACTCAATTTTTTTAACTAATTTTTTTCCTTATCAAATTACTTTATAAAATTACTACAAACAAAAATAGTAAAGATAAATTGTAAAAAAAATATCAAAATTATATTATCTAAGAAAACAAATAAATTGAGATTTCCGTATGACTCGAACATGAGACTTATAGCTCTCATAGTATATTAGATAATATAAATAATCATCCGATTTAAAATTTTAAGCTACATCATTGATTATTTATTTTTATAGTTTTTTTATTAAAAACCATATAACAATTTATCTAAAAAAAACTATAAATTGAATGATTAATCAATTATTTATTTATTTATTTTATTCAAAAAAAATATTTAAGATATTTTACAGTTTTTATTTGTATAAAACTTGTATAATTTAAGTCTTTATTTAAAACCAAACATCAGTTTTGGACAAGGAGAATGTTTCGTGCAAATTTTACATTAACACGAAGGAATTTCATGCAATAAATAAAACACAGGATGTTTTGTGCAATTTTACTTAAACACAAGGAGTATTATATAATACAAAGTAGTATTATATAATTTACTCTGTATACGATAGTAAATGAATTAAATGATATTGTTCAATACGATATTCTATTGTAATTTTTACTTTTTTATATTTAAAATTTTATAAAATTTCTCCCAACGTTTAGGGTGTTGAACAGTCAACATCATGGTTATTTAAATCACCCATCCGATCATCTGCTTGATAAATTTAATGATCTGAATTTACAAAAGTAATTTAATTATTTTTGTTATCCACAAAAAACGAATTGAGGCTCAAAGTTATAAGACCTAACCTAAAAAGTGCGATCAAAATATATAAATATAGGATAGAAGAATGAAGAGAGGACATTCACCAACATAACAAATTCATGTTTCAATCAATTCCTAAGCAATCAAGACATCAAAGAAATTGAAGTTTCATATACTTCATCTTATTTTCCAATACCGAATGATGCAGGGGAAATTGCTCAATCACGTAAGTAAAATTTGGACAATAAAGTTGAAATCGTCAATACCTTATTCGATTTATTAGACTGAAATTATTGGATTCAAATTATTGGAGTATTGTTTCCTTAGTCAAATTTGAATAATAATTTATGAAATTATGTCAATATAATTGTTTTCCTAGTTTTTCAAGATTTAAAGATTAGTAAAACTATAAAAATGTCGTTTGATGTGTTAAGAATTTGGTAAATATATATTAGAAATTATATTTCAATTATAATATCGATATCACTATTAATGAAAATAAAGTAGCATCTCGTTCAATTGACTTCAACATCTATGTATGCATGGTGAAGCATTTCATATTATGCTATACAACACGACATTTGATGAGGTTAAATGCAGGACTCAACATTTTTCTATTTGTAGGTTAACATTTTAGAATAAAGCATAAACATAAAATCTCATGTGGTGTGTTAAAAATTTGGTAAATATGTATTAGCAATCATATTTCAATTAAAATATCGATATTATAGTTAATTAAAATAAAATAGTATCCCGTTTAGTTGATTTCAGCATCTACGTGTACGTAAGAAAATATTTCATATTATGTTATACAATACGACATTTGATGAGCTTAAATACATAATTCAATATTTTTCTATTTGTGAGACATCATTTTAGAATAAAATAAACAACATATTATTTGACATTTTTTAGTATCTAATATATGGAGGCTGTATAGATTAGCTCGCAATGAAATTTACTAAACCAGGAGATGCATACAATTTTTATCGTGAGTATGCACATAATAGAGGCTTTGCGGTTGTGATTAAAATGCAAAAAAATAAATAAATAAAAATGGACTGTGTCAGATACAATATATAGAATATTATTGCAACAAAGTAGGGTTAAAAAAGGCATCAATGTGAAACCAGATCAAACTGAAATTCATGAAGAAATATGTCGTTGTCGTAAAAAATTGCCACTGACGGCTCAATCGAAAAAACCTGTCGGAATTAATTTTTTCGAAGGGTTGTCCTGCCTCCTTAAGAAAGGATCTGGACTATATTGCGCGGTGAACGAATAATTGAAGTAAAAAAAAAATGCAAAATAAGACTAATAAACAAGAAAGAAAGTTAGAAAATAAATTGGGATTAATGAAAGAAATTACATTGTTCTTGGAAAAGAAAATATTAAAGAAAGAAAAAGTGCATGAAAAATTAAGAGAAATAAGATGATTTCTGCGTGTCATCTGCCTGATTGTGCCTCCATTCTTGTTATTTTTTTGAATTTATTTTGGATAAAATCTTATCCCTAAATATCTTCCAACTTCTTCCTATCCCTTGCAACCATCTTTGATTAGATTTCTTCACCTTCTTGGACGATCTGCATTATGGTCCGGGCCTCCCTGGACGATGGGCCGGGTATTGCAGCAAATTTGTGACTTATTTGGGTTAGACATGACCCACACCGGTTTCGGGCCGCAGGTGGCCTTGGTCTCGAAATCTCTCTCTTGGACTGCATTGACATTGGGCCGACCTCATAATTTATTTGGGTGTGTACAACATCAAGTTATGAAATATCAAAACAATGCATTATAATCATGAGACGAGAACAAACAAAGTGGAAAATCTGGTGAATACATATGATTTATTCCTGTGTGGTTAGCATGTATTTATATTAAACAAAGCATTTCATTGAATACTTAGACCCCGTTTGGATTGGCTTCTGGAAGGAACTTTTGACTTCTACTTCTAAAAAAAACAGTTTGCACCTATTTGCATTGGCTTCTGTCTAAAAATAGAAGCAGCTTTTGAAGCTGAAAAGTATTTTTTTCAGAAGCATATTGGGATAGCTTTTGAAATAAGCAGAAGTACTCTTTAGTTAAAATTACTGTTTTATCCTTAATAATAATAATAATAATAAATACAATAATATAATATAATATAAAAATAAATAAATTATATATTATATTTTAATACAAATTACAAAATATAATTAATTTATTATTTTTAATTTATGTACTATATTTGGATTAAAATTTAAAATTTAAATACCGAATGTAAATAGGAGTGTATAAATTTTTTAATTATATTTAAACTACTAAATATAATTTATAAAATTTTAACATAAATTATAAAATACAAATTATATAATAGTATACTCTAATTTTATGTTTAATTGATATATTATCCATAAATTAAAATTTTAAAATATAAATAATCAAAATTTAAAAGTATATTTTTTATACTTTAATTTAAAATCTTTAAATATAATTTATAAAATTTAAATTAAATTAAATTATAAAAGTGTTATAGAAAAATACTAGTATTATATTAACCGCATGTCTTTTTAAGTAATTTTAACAGTTTAAAAGCACTTTCAACTGTATAACGTCCAAACAGTTTTTTACGAAAAGCTGTTTTTATAATGATTTATCCAAACACAAAATCGAACTGCTTCTACTTTTGGCTTCTGCTTATTTTTTAAGTCAATCCAAACGGGCCCTTAGAAACATATTGTTATATTGTGGATATCATTTATACTTTCACAATCAACATTACCTATTGTTATCCCCAACAATATATTATTATGTTATAATTAAACATCGCTATATTGAGAATAAAATATTAATCTCTTATAATCAGCATGAACATATATCGAACAAAGCATTTCATTGATTATTGAGAATAAAATATTAATCTCTTATAATCAGCATGAACATATATCGAACAAAGCATTTCATTGATTACTTACAAGCATATTGTTATTCTAAGAATAACATTATTAATCTTTTATAATCAATATTTGATCAAAATATCCAAATATAATTTTACACAATTCAACTCATCATTCTTTATTCTAATACCAATCACAAT